AAAAAAAAAAAAAAAAAAAAAAAATCCTGACCGTGACCAGAAAGTGCAAAATCATTGTCCTTGCATCCAGAGCCAATGGCAAGTTTGCTGCCCTATCTGTGAGCAGTTGGAGACTCTGTATGGATGTTGGTGTTTGTATTAGAACAAAGGCTCATGCTTATCGTTATCCTAAATGCAGACAAAATGTCTGGCACAGCTCTGTGCCTTTGTCACTGGGCAAGCAGCCCATGAATGAGAGAGTGAAGGTCGTTCCGGTACGTTTCTTCTTCCAGCTTCCCATTATGAACCAAGCCTGGTGTTTTCTTTTTACATGCCCTGCTGCATGGTGAGTGGTTTGAAAATGAATGTGTGCGTACATGCTGAAACTTGACTGCCTCCACTTTGTTTGGCCATGGCTTCTGGGTGTAAATTGCACCAGTAGAGAGCAGGCTGTTCTCGCTGTGAAGGTGTGGTTGGGATGTGAGGACTGAGACTTGCTGAAATCGTAGAAACTCTCAAGTGCACCCCACATCTGAAATCACAGCGGCCTGTCATCTAAGGCAGATGGAAAGGTTTTTAATCGCCTGATCCAATCGCACATGGTAGGCAGCAGTCAAAATAGCTATAGCCGTCCTGTCACACAAATGATGTCATTCACCTGGCACTGTGTTAAGGCCCATTGTTGCTGTGTCGTGTAGGGGCTGTTTTTGCTCCCCAGAAAGGTAGTTATGCAACATGAGTTTTCCCTCTTAGTCTTGTGACAGTTGGATAAGAGCCTGGCTAAGACTGCTTCAGAGAAAGCTGCTGGTTTTTATGGAGTGAATTAACATAGGGGGTGGGGGGGAGAGTGACTCAGGGCTGGCTTGGAAGCTAGTACAAAATGCCTCCTCGTGACTGGGGAACCTGCTGATGGCAACTAATGTTTCCAAGCTTTCTTTGCCACAGCAGATGCAGCTCTACCCCTGCCTGACTCTTACGGCTCCCATGACCCTGTATACCCAGCTCTCATGACCCTGTCTGGGGGTTTGAGGGTGAGATGTCACCCCCCCCACCCTAAAGTGGCTTTGCTGTGGAGGGCTGAACCCTGCGTCAGATGTGGGGGAGTAAGGAGGAGCCCTTGGGGAGTTCATGCTGGTACCTGTTCCTCAGCTGCAGCAGCCTGAGTCCACCCTCCCCTCTGCTCTCCAGTGGTCAGCATAATCCCATTCCTACCTCCCTTGCTCCAGCTGCTGAAAGAGATCGCTATGCCTCTGTGGGCAGGAAACCAACAAAGTGAAGGATATTCAAATTTATCATAAGTTTCAGCCGGGAACATAATCAGAGTTCAAGGGAACCCAGCGGAACAGATGGCTTTTGCTCCTGTTGGTCATTGCTTCTCTTGTTCTGGCTTTTCTGCAGGCTGCATCCAGAAAATACGAGGGTGCCAGCCTTTACTGGTTTGGTGTCCCAAATGCTCAAAGAAATGTCAAGTATTGTGCAGAATCCCCTAGAGGATGAAGCAGATTTCAGTCCTACTGAGATACTGAAGCTACCGAATATCAATTTCTAACTTGCTTTCTGGGCTGGAAGGAACGGGGAGCTCAGAAGAGCAGGTATGTAATCCCAGAAGAACTTTTCCAGCTGGTTACTGAGACGGTATAGGTGGAGCCTGAAGCCAGTTGCATCTGGATGCAGATGTTTTCAACAAGGCACAGTAAAAGGGAGAAAACTCCTTAAAGTTGTTGTCCTTGTGATTCTTTTACGGATTTAGGGATACTCTTCTGGAAAGCAGAAAGTCCTAGCCCCTAATCCCATTCATGAAGTTTTCAATATTTTTCCAGTTGGGTGTCCCCAGGTTTGGTTATCATGAGGCCAGAAGGCCATTTGCCAGAATCCCAAGCTGGGAATGCAGCATGTATGGCTGTGTATACATGTATTGTATATGCTGTTATAAAAAAGCATAGCATGTACAGATTTTCATATTATTCAGAGATTTGCCCAAAGTTTTACTTAAGTTTGATATTACTCATAATACATGGGAGGGGGAACACTATTGCATTTACAGTCTGACAATTTTACCTCTGAAGGTGGTGTTCCAGGAAAAGACTGTTTTGAGGGCCTCTGGGTCCTGTTTATACCTTTAAATTGAGCAATAAAATAACCAACTTGATAAAATTATTCCCCCCCCCCACCAAACAAAAAATCCCAGCCTGGACATTCTCCCATTTACTTTGCAGCCTTCAAATCAACACCAAGGAGAAAAACAATGTACAGCAAGTAGCTTTTGAGGCATGAGGGACCAAAGATAAGACTGATAAAGCAAGTGGGATTCACACAATCTCAACCTTTACAAATGCCCTGTACAAAGGCTTGGTCAACAAGCAGCAGTCCTCAGATTGACTATATTCAACATATTACGAGTTCCCATTACACAAATTTCCCATTCCCCAGGCATGGTTTGGTGGGGTTTTTTGGTTGTTTTTTTTTTCTTCTTTCTTTCTTGTTTTTTAAAGGGGCAAAAATAGTTCCTGGATTGAAGAAGCCTTCAGCTGCTGCAAAGAGAGATTTAGTTGCATTCAAGTTTAGTAGGGTCCAAATGCAGGTGAATCATCTGCTTCCCACAGTATCACTGCTGCTGCTCTGCTTGGCCTGTCTGTATCTGGGGCTCCCCTACGCTGCTCAAGACGGTCCCTTATGCTTTTGGCCAATCCTGCTGGCAGCAGCACTAAATATTGATTAACAAGAGGTACTGGTGCAAAGGTTTATGTTTCAGTGAGGTGTCCAGTGCCATTTTGGGAAATGCCATTCAAAGCGTTCCTGAGCACCATGAGGAAATGAGATGGGGGAAGCTGTTCCTGAGATCCTGTCTCTGGCAGTGCTCCAGTCTCCGGACAATGTCTCCTCATTAGAGCACGTTCCCGTCTGTCAGAAATATCCCCCATGTTGTTCTTCTCCCTCGATCCAGTTGCAGGTTACATGACTGTTTTCTTTTTTGTTGTGTTTGGGGTTCTTCTGCCCCTTTTAAAATGACTCTTACTTTTATTTTTCATCCTCATCACCCTCGCTCATGCTGCTAATGGAGGCTGAGGCGGCTTTGGGAGAAGAAGGAGGCGAGGCTTTATTGGAGAGCCATGGGAAGGGTGGTGACGGAGAGCGGGATGGTGAGCGGCCTCGTGTTGGGCTGCTGGTTGGGCTCTGCCTCGGTGAGAAGGCCTGGAGCATCCGTCCACTTCGCTCCTGAAACATCTGTTTCTGAAAGGCAATTTGAGAAGAGACCCTGTGACTAACTCACCATGGTTGAGCAAGAGGAGAGGGGTGGATCTAGGGGAGGTGTATGGGTGCACTTGCACCTACCCTTTTGGTTTTTGCTGCACTGAAAATTTGAAACCAACTACTTGTCAGTGGCAGCAGCATTTCTAGTCAGGCAGCACAGAGGAAATCACTTGACTTCCTGGCTCAGTATGATTTCTCTGCTCCCTTCTGAACGATTCATTCCAATGAATTGAGTCTGCACCGATGCGCTGGAATTCCAGCACGTTGGAGCAGCCTCCGCGTTTGTATATAGGTGCCCCATGCTCTTTAGTTAACGTGCTTTAAGGCAGGCTAATGCACATTCTCTTAGAACCTCATAATGGAGGTACTAGCTTTAATGCGCATTAACTAAGCATGTTAATGCATTTGTAGACATGCCCACCAAGGACAGGATTTGAGCCTACTGTTGGAACAGTTCTCCTGATGGATGGGCAGAATAGAATCTATTTAATACTGCCATCACTGGGTTGCTTCTGCAATACCACCAGGAATCAAAAGTTATTGGAAGCACATGGTCAGATTTTGCAAGCCTGGTGCAGCACTGGCAGTTAACTGCACGTGAGCATGCCTTTGACCTTCACTTTGTCACTGTAGCAAGGAGAGAGGAAAAATACTACATGTAGGCATGAGGTGAAATCCAGCACTCATTCAAATTAATAGGAGTTTCCCTACCGACGTCAGTAGGGCCTGAATTTCAACCGAGGAAAGGACTTTGTAAACCAGAAGATACCATTCTTTTTTTATACAGCATCTTTATAGACACCAAGTCAGAGAGCCCCTGTCCCCCAGACAGAAAAAAAATGAAT